CTGCCATATGCAGATGACACAACCTTGCTTGCTGAAAGTGAAGAGGACTTGAAGCACTTACTGATGAAGATCAAAGACCACAGCCTTCAGTACGGATTACACGTCCACATAAAGAAAAGAAAAATCCTCACAACTGGACCAACAAGCAACATCATGATAAACAGAAAATATTGAAGTTGTCATGGATTTCATTTTATTTGGATCCACAATCAATGCCCATGGAAGCAGCAGTCAAGAAATCAAATGACATTATTTCATTGGGCATGTTTGCTGCAAAAGACCTCTTTAAAGTGTTGAAAAGCAAAGATGTTCACTTTGAGGACTTAAGGTGCACCTGACCCAAGCCATGATACTTTCAGTTGCCTTATATGCATGTGAAAGCTGGACAGTGAATAAGGAAGACCAAAGAAGAATTGATGCCTTTGAATTACGGTGTTGGCGAAGAATATTGAATATACCATGGACTGCCAGAGGAACGAACAAGTGTGTCTTGGAAGAAGTACAGCCAGAGTGCTCCTTGGAAGCAAAGATGGAAAGACTTCGTCTCACATACTTTGGACGTGTTATCAGGAGGGACCAGTCCCTGGAGAAGGACATCATGCTTGGTAAGGTAGGGGGTCATTGAAAAAGAGGAAGACCCTCGATGAGATGGATTGACACAGTGGCTGCAACAGTGGGCTCAAGCATAGTAACAATTGTGAGGATGGTACGGGACCATGCAGTGTTTCATTCTGTTGTACATAGGGTCGCTGTGAGTCAGACCTGACTTGATGGTACCTAACAACAACAACATTGTACAGTATGGCCGTTATACTTTAGATAACAATCAAACTGGGCTCCAGAAGGATAGGGACTCCGTCTTTTTCACTGTTGTAGTCCCTGCACCTAGCACACAGTTCCTGGTACTTAAGAGATACTCATTGCTTACTGAATGTAGGAAGACAGTTCCTCACCTGTTGTGTTTACTCTAGGGTTTTGTCAAAGCGCGGAAGAAAGTCATACCCACTAAAATGGCTACTATCAAAACACACACACATAAAAAATGAAACAGCAGATAACAAGTATTGCCAAGGATATGGAGCAGTTGGAATCCTCGTCCATTGCTGGTGAGAATGTAAAATGGTGCAGCCTCTGTGGGAAACAGTTTGGCTGCTCCTCAAAAAGTTAAACGTAGAATTATCATATGACCCAGCAATTCCACGCCTGGGTATATGCTCAAAAGAATTGAAAACAGGGACTCAAAAAAATACTTGTACACAAATGTTCATTGCAGCATTATTTACTATAGCCAAAAGGTGGAAACAACCCATATGTCCATCAGCAGGTGAATGGATAAACAAAGTATGGTACATACATACAGTGGAGCATTACTGAAATGAAGTTCCAACACATTGCTAGTACATGGATGAACCTTTAAAACATGCAGAGTCCTACACCGTTTGGAGCAAAGGAGAATGGAGAAAACCAAAGACATAAGGGAAAGATTAGTCCAAAAAAGGACTGCCTTCAGCATTATGCTCTTTTAAGAATTATCTGTATGGGATCAAATTGACAACAGCAACTCTAAAGATTCTATAGGAACCTTAGGGGGCAGTGAGTTTACGTTAATTAAGGAGGAACAACTCAGAAAAGGAGGGTGAGAATGGTTGCACAACTTGAAGAATGTAATCAGTGTCACTAATTGTACAAATAGAAACTTGAGTTAGTGTTATGTTTTGCTGTGTGTATTCTCAACAGCAACAACAAAATAGAATTTAGGGGGAAAAGTTTTGGAAATAGTGATGATGGTTGCACAACATTGTAAATGTAGTTAACGTCATTGAATTATACACTTAAAATGGTTAAAATGGCAATTTTTATGTTATATATATACGTTGGAGCCCTGGTGGCACAGTGGTTAAGAGCTTGGCTGCTAAGCAAAAGGTCAGCAGTTTGAATCCACTAGCTGCTCCTTGGAAACCCTATGGGGCAGTTCTCCTCTGTCCTATAGGGTTGCTATGAGTCCGAGTTGACTCAACAGCCCAGGGGCAGGAAATGTTTTCTGTGAAGGACCGGATACTAAATATCTTAGGCTTGGGGGGGCCACATATAGTCTCTGTTGCATATTCTTCTTCTTTTTTTAAATGATCCTTTAAAATGTAAAAACAATTCTTGGTCTGCAAGCAGCACAAAAACATTCTGCAAGCTGCAGTTTACTAACCCTTGTTCTCCTCTGACCCTGTGCTCTAACTGTCCAAAGTCTTGAATCCTGGGATTCTTCATCCGGTTGTTCAGGTCAGAAGATGCTAGCTATAAAACAATAAGTTTCATTTTAAAAGTATTTTCCAGTTTAAAAATAGCAATATATCTTCCCCCTACCCCCATACTCCCACCTACCTTATATTTAAGGTACTTGTAAAGTTCTGTTCCTGAGCCAGATAAAGCATTCCTGAAGGAAACCATTAGTGCCAGTTTGACAGATATTCCAACTTGGATAAGATCTGTGCCTTTGATATTACTCCAGATTATCTTGGAGCCTCAAATCGTGATTTTAATTTTAAATTCCTGGAGTTTACACCATCAGGTCTCGTGTCTGGAGCAGTCATGTTTTATGAAAATAGCATCTGTTGCTGCGAAGAAAGCTAACCATAATGAGCACAAGCTTGCACTTTTTCTCAGCAAAAAAGAAAAAATACAGGCACAATCTTTGTGAAATGACTATATTAAATTGCAAGTGACAATGGTAAAGCAAATATTTAAATTCACAGCTAAAATAGTGCTTGTAAAATGCAGTTGCCAGGGAGAGCATGCCAGTTCATCATTCTTGAAGCAGAATCATTCCCCACAGTTCCAGGAACAAATATTTGCTTTAAGTAAACTGCTTTCTGGCTGTTTAAAACTATGCATAAGTAAACTGTATTTACCAGGTACTGTCTCTGTCTTATAAGGAGCCCTGGTGGCACAGTGGTTAAGTGCTCTGCTGCTAACCAGAAGGTCGGCAGTTTGAACCTACCAGCCGCTCTGTGGGCAAAAGATGTGGCAGTCTGCTTCCGTAAAGATTACAGCCTTGGAAACCCTATGGGACAGTTCTACTGTGTTCTATAGGGTTACTATGAGTCGGAATTGACTTGCTGGCCGTGAGTTGGGTCTGTCTTGGAGATGTGCGTGGGCAGGAGCTGTCCCTGGTGCATGCTCACCCCTCTGTATGGGGGTGTCTGAGCTGGCTGCTTCCTAGCTGCAGCTTTGCTGATGGAATGGCTTCATTTGTCCCTAGGAGAGTTCCAGCGATGGAGGTGATGGCATTTTTGGTGAAAAGAAGGATGACAGCCAGGCAGGTGAGACTGTGTCCTTCTGAAGGCAAGGAAAAGTAAGGTCCCAGTGTGTGGTTATCCTCAAGTTCATTTGTAGTGAAAATGCTGTTTTTTAAGGAGGCTCTTTTAAAAAGCCAAATAAGTTGACCCTTGTCAAACTCTCCTGGAGTCTTACATGGAGCTTCACATGGCTTTGGCAAGCTTCCTCTAACTGGCATTGAAATGCAAAAGTGAGTTAAATAATAATATCTTAAGTGAGGATGGGGTCTGAGAGATAAAAAGAAATTGTGGTTTCAATTATTTATTTGGTTTTGGGTTATTCCCCCCTCCTCGCCCCCATCCCCTAAATTCAAAATTAATGGAAGCTTTGGCATTTGGAAGGACCAGCTACTCAAAAGCCCATAGTTCTGCATGGAGAAATCAACAGAGGGTCTGCTCAGTCCTGTGCTTTAGAGAAAAGTCCTCAAATCAGTTCCGCCCTCACAGGAGGGTGTGTTTATATTTGAGAAATAACAGAGCCAACCACAACATAAAGCTGTTCCTAAAGCAAAATTGCAGATCTTCCAGCTATACCCAACTCCTGAGCCAATTGTTAAATAGTAATACTTCTAAGTTGTTGAGCGAGCTTTGTTCTTATTTAAACAAACAAGGGGGGAAAGAAAAGTCACCCTTGTTTTAGTTCTGTTTGTAAATACTAATATCCTTACTGATGTTTGAAGCCCAGGATGGCTCCGAGCCAGACAGATCGCCCTGGCCAGTTTCCTCCGCTCTCACAGCTCGTCTCAGACGTCTGGTCACTGTCTACCAGCGCTGCAACCGCAAAGAACCCTGCCGGCCTGAAATTCTGGGCCCAGGTAACCAAGCATACTGGGTCCAGGAAGAGATGTTCAGGAGAACCTCAGAAATGGACCTCATCAACAAGGAAGCCCAAAAGAGGTAAAAGCCAGTGGCCAAAAGGACACACTGAGCTGCTCAAGTGTCTGTATGTGTGTGTGTGTGTGTGTGTGTGTGTGTGTGTGTGTGTTTGTGTGCCTGTACGTCTTTTCCAACACACATTCTAAATATCCTCTCTGACACCAACTACAAACAAAGTTTTTCTGACTCTAAGCACTGGAGCTGGGTCAGATCTCATAAGTTCAAGGGCATAGTCCTCCAGAACACCAAGTCTTGCCCAGACTTCAGATGTCAGCTTCTCCAAGGTCAGGAGTTCCCACTACCCCCTCGGGATGCCGGCTATAAGCTCAGGTGTTCCCAGGGTCCGCTCCTTTCTGATCTGCTGGCTATAAATTCAGGGGCTCCTACTGCCCGTTGGGTTCACTGGAATCACTCACAGAACTCAGGAAAGCATTGGTCTTAGGATTACGGTTTTATTATTATCGCCAAAAGGATACAAATGAAGAGATGCGTAGGGTAAGGCTTGAGAGGGTCCCCAATGTGGGGTTTCCATGTCCTAAGGGATGTGGCAGCCCACAGTGCCAGCTGGTAAAGGTGACAAAAGATAAAGTTGGTAGCTGGAAGGCAAGTATACTGTGCTCTTGTGTGAAGTTAGGCTGTCTCTGGAATTAAGTCCAACCTCCAAATGTCATGGTGTTGTCGGGGGAGTCTGATGACACCCTCTGGTTTACAGTTCTCAGACTTGGGATTTTCCAACTTGACCCTCTTCCCTAGGTCGGACCCCCATCTCTGGGGATTTGGTTTAAGAACACCGGAGAGACATATTTCAGACCATTTCAGAAACCCTACTTCTCTCACAACAAAGGGAGTATTGTACATTAAAGCTATCTTATTATAGTTATAAGTCCTTTAAGAGCAGTAAACCAAAATCAAACCCATTGCCATCTAGTCAGTTCTGACTCATAGTGACCCTATAGGACAGAGTAGAGCTGCCCCATAGGGTTTTGTGGTTAGGTTGTTAGTTGCCGTTGAGTCGGTTCCAACTCAGAGAGCTTATGTACAACATAACAAAACACTGCTTGGTCTTGCACTAGCCTCACAGTTGTTGTTATGCTTGAGCCCATTGTTGCAGCCACTGTGTCAGTCCATCTTGTTGAGAGTCTTCCTCTTTTTTGTTGACTCTACTTTACTAAGCATGATGTCCTTCTCCAGGGACTAATCTCCCCTGATAACATGTCCAAAGTATGTGAGACGAAGTCTTGCCATCCTTGCTTCCAAGGAGCACTCTGGCTGTACTTTTCCCAAGACAGACTTGTTCGTTCTTCTGGCAGTCTGTGATATATTCAGTATTCTTTGCCAGCACCATAATTCAGAGGCATCAGTTCTTCTTTGGTCTTCCTTATTCATTGGGTTTATAAGGCTGGAAATCTTTACAGATACAGACTGCCACATCTTTCTCCCATGGAGTGGCTGGTGGGTTCAAACTACCAACCTTTTGGTTAGCAGCCGAGCGCTTAACCACTGCACCACCAGGGCTTTTAAGAGCAATAAGTACCATACAATGCCAGCTCATAAGGAAGGTATAAATTACCAAGTTACTTGTCCAACTGAGAATTAAGCTGAAAAGGCTTTAGAAGGTCCGCACAACCTAGAAATGATGCCACCAGAAGATATCAGTGAAGCTGCAGTTCTTTAAGTCTTCATCTCTCCATTCTTCTGATGTAGCATCCAGTGAATTAAAAGACCACGCGTACTTCTGTGTACTCCTTCTGACTTTATGAAATTTTGTAATTCAGGGAAAATATTTCTCCCGTTTTTAATAACTCCAAAGAAAAGAGCCAGAGCCCCTTCTTCCCTGCTTCTCAGTCACCCACTGACCCCTCACCCCACCTCTTCACTCCTAGCCTGCCCCTGGGGTTAGAGAATACTATGTCCAAGAACCCCTTATAAAGACTGCGGGTGGTATATAATAATCCAGCTCTCTTCAGTCATTACCTTAGTCCTGTAGGATATAAACTAGAGAAGCTTTGTGTCCTGGAGAAGATAATTGATATGGGCTACCAGCCTGCATAGAACCAGGAAGAAAGCCAAAGTGAAAATGGGGAGTCAAGCGATCTGTGCAGCCGGGGCAGTCACTTCCCTTCTCTGGATTGTTTCCCTCATCTGTAAAATGAAGGTGTTGAATTTAGTAGTTTAGAAGATCCTTCCAGGATTCTGTGATTCTGTGATGTTATACAGAGAAAAAAATCGAGTATAATACTTAAGCATTATAGTAGTACAGTGAAACCTGTGAGAACCAGAACTCTACGGGACTGTCTTGTTTTTTGGGGTCTCGCAAGTTTTCTGCCTTTGACAGGGTACAGTCTTACCACTTTTCTATCTCTCATTTTAGTGGATAATATTTGCATTTTCCTTCTCTGACAGGTTCCGACTTTCACAGGTTTTACTGTATTTTTTAAATGGGTTTATCTACCGTAAGAGGAAAGTAAGTAGGTCGTTTCTAAAATTGATGAATCAAGAAGTAGCAAGTATGCACACAGGATTTAGAAATAGGGAGGTAAATACCTGAAGAAAGAGCTGAAAGATTTGAAAGTGGCTACCTTTTTAGGAAGAGTCCTGGTGGCTCAGTGGTAAGCACTTGGCTGCTAACCAAAAGGTTGGAGGTCTGAACCCACCAGCCACTCCAAGGGAGAAAAATGTG